CCACAGCACCACTTCTGGCTTTTTTCTTTTTGCTTATGTGGTGCTGAGGAATCGAACCCAGGACCTCAGGCATGCAAGGCAAGCGCTCTACCACTAAGCCATCTACCCATCCCCTTTATTTCTTTATTATACAACACACACATCATGAATTGTAAGTCTACACTGATGGAAACACATTGTATAGACATGTAATAGATATAATAACAAAAGATAGAGGAGAAATAGAAATATATAGTTGACCTTAAACCCATATATGATATATAAAACACACACACACACAGAGCTTGAAGGTATGGCTTAGGTAGTAGAATGCCTGCCTAGCAAGTGCAGGGACCTGAGTTCAGGAAGTCAATTTTCTTTTCTTTCTTTTTTCTGCTATTCCTGGGGCTTGAACTCTGGGTCTGGGCACTGTCCCTGAGCCTCTTTGAGCTCAAGGCTAGCGCTCTACCGCTTGAACCACAGCACTACTTTTGGCTTTTTCTGATTACTTTATTGGAGATAAGAGTCTCACAGACTTTTCTGCCAGGGCTGGCTTTGAACCTGGATCCTCAGATCTCAGCCTCTTGATTAGCTAGGATTACAAGTGTGAGCCCATGGCGCCTGCTAATTTTCTTTGTTTTTGTTGTTGTTGAGGCCTGAACTCTGGACCTGGGTGTGGACTGTCCCTCAGCTCTTCAGCTCTTCAGCTCAAGGCTAGCATTCTACCACTTGAGCCACAGTGCCACTTCTGGCCTTTTCTGTTTATGTGGTGCTGTCCCTCAGCTCTTCAGCTCAAGGAAAGCACTCTACCACTGAGCCACTTTCCCAGCCCCCTAATTTTCATTTTTTAAGAGATGGGCACTCATGGTTTTGCTCAGGCTATCCTTAAAGCCCAAAGACCAAGTGACTTTTCTGCCTCAACCTCAGTGACTAGAACTACAGGTGGATACCACTGCACCCAGCTTAATTGTATATGGTTGTGTGTGTGTGTGTATACATGCACACCGCGTGCCCGTACATGCACCCACATGGGGGTTTGAGCTTGGAACGTAGTTCTTTCACTTGGCATTTTATCACTTGAACCACACCTCCAGTCTAGCATTTTACTAGTCAATTAAGGGTAGACTCTTACTGATTTGGCTTTGAACTGTAGTCTTCCAGGTCTCAGTCTCCTGAGTAACTAGAATTATAGGCATGGGCCACCAGTGCTTGTTTCTTCCTTTTTGTGATGAGAATCCAACACAGGGCCTGGGATGCTAGGCAAGTGCTTCCTCATTGAGCCACAGCGCTGGGCTTGTGCACATGTGCGCGCACATGCACACGCACACACATACACACGCATGCGCACAGACACACACACAAACACACACACACGGAGAGACTGAGTGAAAAGCATATTGGCAATGCCAAGTACATGGACAGCCTCCTCTCCAGGCAGCATCTGGCCATTGTTAACCACTCAGGGCCAACTGATCTTTCTCCTACAGATCCCACCCCTAGGAAAACATTATTCCCAGCGCTGGGCACAGGAGGACCTGTTGGAGGAGCAGAAGGATGGGGCCCGGGCAGCAGCTGTGGCTGACAAGAAGAAAGGTCTCATGGGGCCTCTGACGGAACTGGACACTAAAGGTAGGCCCCTCGCCTTCCTGTCCACTCCACGCCAGGATTTGATTTTCCACAACTTCAGCCCACCCGTCGCCCTCTTCCCTGCCTGCTTCAGATGTGGACGCCCTGCTGAAGAAGTCGGAGGCCCAGCACGAGCAGCCAGAAGATGGGTGCCCCTTTGGCGCCCTGACGCAGCGCCTCCTGCAGGCCCTGGTGGAGGTGAGCACCGCCTGTTCACAACAAGACACCCATGCCCTTTCTGGTTTCACGATTGAGCCTGTAGTAATCACACCATGGTGATCACACCGTGATACATTACTGTATCTTAGAAGCCACCTCCCACTCCTCTCCTCTCACCTCGCTCCGCGGTACTTTAGCTGAGCGTCTGTCCATGGCAACATGGCGGTTGAGTGTTTCCATCACTCCTCTGTGGCCTCTTCTTTTGGTATCCGTCCAAAAAGAAGGAATGTCTAAAATGATCTAAGCTTTTGAAAAGGCTTCCTAGAAGAGGTGGGATGGGAAATACAACAATCATTTTGACACTAAAGTAAATAAATTTAAAAAAAATTTAGATAGGGGGCTGGGAAAGTGAGGGGAAGGAGAAATAGACTGTCCAGGAAGAGTGCTAGGAGAGGATGGGGCCAGAAAGGAGAGAGGAAGGGACTGAATGGTGTCAGCAGTGATTATTTACAACTATGAAAAGGAAACAATGAAGCCTGTGGAAATTGTTTAGGGAGGGGAAAGGGGGCCAGAGTTATGGAGGGGTGAGGTACATTGTAATACCTTGTCAACAATGGAATCCTCCCTTGATTAACTAATGTAAACTTAAAAAAAAAATTAGTTGACTCTGGTGTTGGTACTCAGGAGGCTGAGATCTGAGGATTGCGGTTCAAAGCCCATGCAGCAGGAAAGCCTGTGAGACTCTTTTCTCCAACTAACCACCAAAAAGAAAAGCCAGACTTGGAGCTGTGGCTCAACTGGTGGAGGGTAGCTTGAGCAAAGCAGCTCAGAGACAGCGCTCAAGCATTCCATCCCTAAGACTGACCACAAAAATAAAAGTAAAAAGCTAATTGAAACTTCTGTTACATTTCACCTATGTATATTTTTCTTAACATTTTAAATTAATTTTTGTGTGCCCGTATTCAGCTTTGTTGGCTTTTTCTGCTCACAGCTGGCATTCTACTATTTGACTCATGTCTCCTGTGCCAATTTTGTTTTATTTCAATGTTTACTATCCTAAATCAGAAGTTACCCAAAACTTGAAATTAAAAATTTATTGTTTGGGGGCTGGGAAGGTGGCTCAGTGGTAGAGCGCTTGCCTTGCATGCAGGAGGCCCTGGGTTCGATTGCTCACCACCACATAAGCAAAAAGAAAAAAAAGCCGGAAGTGGCACTGTAGCTCAAGTGGTAGAGCGCTAGCCTTGAACTGAAGAGCTGAGGGACAGCGCCCAGGCCCAGAGTTCAGGCCCCACGACCGGACCCAAAAAAAAAAAAATTTATTGTTTGAAAACTAAGTGTAAAAACACAAGTAGTTTGTAAAGGAGAAAAGCAGTTCACATAGGTGACAGGAGCAGGGAATGGAAATGCTCCAGCTCTTCCTTTGCCCCATTGCTGGTCTTCTAGGAGAATATTATTTCCCCTATGGAGGACTCCCCCATTCCGGACATGTCTGGGAAGGAATCAGGGGCAGACGGGGCAAGCACCTCTCCTCGCAATCAGAACAAACCCTTCAGGTGAGTGACGTCATGTCTGCACTTCACAGCCCAGCCCCACCTCAGCATGTGCATGAGGAGGCGTTCATTAACCAAGAGGCTGAGGACAGTCTTGGAAAGACCAAAAATATCGCATGTGAGTGCTGGCTTAGCACTTCGGCAGACAGGCTTAGTCCAGGCTTGTTCTCCACGGCTCCTGTTAATAGCCTGAATGTCCAGCTTGTAGGGGCCTTGGTTTGCTGAATTGTCCTAACTCCATATGATGATCTAACTTGCAGTTGTTAATCATAGTAAGAATTACTTTTTTTTTTTTGGTCAGTCGTGGGGCTTGAACTCTGGGCCTGGGCGCTGTCCCTCAGCTCTTCAGCTCAAGGCTGGTACTATACCATTTAAGCCACTTCCTGCTTTTTGTTTATGTGGTGCTGAGGAATCAAACCAGGGCCTCATGCATGTGAGGCAAGCACTCTACCACTGAGCCATCTTCCCAGCCCAAGAATTACATTTAACGTGAGAAGATGTGTACCTAGTAAAGGACCAAACAGGGAAAAGGTTCATTGTAACACAATACAGATAGGATAATCCTATTTTTACTTAAAATATGTTTAAATCTGTAAACGTAGGGGAATAAACTTGGGCTAAGAAAAGAGTACAATGAATATGTAGCAGCGTGTGGAGCACAGTTATACATGGGTAGAGAGGGGTTCTCCAAGTGAGGAGCTGGGACCCCTGTGGTGTCCCTCCAGCTGAGGGCCATGCCTGCCCACAGCGTGCCACACACCAAGTCCCTGGAGAGTCGCATCAAGGAGGAGCTGATCGCCCAGGGCCTTTTGGAGTCTGAGGACCGTCCCGCAGAGGACTCAGAAGATGAAGTCCTTGCCGAGCTGCGCAAACGGCAAGCTGAGCTGAAGGCACTCAGTGCCCACAACCGCACCAAGAAGCATGACCTGCTGAGGTGAGCTCACGGGAGGCACTGGCCAGTGTGGCCCGGCCACTGAGTCACCCGTGGGGACTTGGGACAGACCTGTCACACCTGGCTGGGCCTCTGCACCCCAGGAGAGCCTGAGCCAGTGCCAGTGCCAGGCACCAGCACCTATGATTGATCAACTGGAGTTTTGTTTATGTCAGTTATAGGGCTTGAACTCTGGGCCTACGCGCTGTCCCTGAGCTCTTCAGCTCAAGGCAAGTGTTCTACCACTTGAGCCACAGCACCACTTCTGGCTTTCTGATAGTTCATTGGAGATGAGTCTCACGGACTTTCCTGCTCAGGCTGGCTTTGAACCTCGATTCTCAGATCTCAGCCTCCTGAGAAGCTAGGATGACAGACGTGAGCCATCCACACTTGACTCTATGGGACTCTTATCGCCAATTAACCACAGAAAATACCAGAACTGCTGCTGTGGCCTAAGTGATTGATAGATTGCTAGCCTTGAGCAAAAGGAGTTCAGGGACAGCGCCCGAGTCCAGATTTCAAGCCCCAGGACCAGAAAAGAAAAAAAGAAGTAAAAAGAAAAAGTGTCTCAGGGACTTTCCTGCCCAGGCTGGCTTTGAACCATGATCCTCAGATCTCAGCCTCATGAGTAGGTAGGATTACAGGTGTAAGCCACTGGCACCTGGCATTACATTGGTTATTTTCAAGACAGACTCCTTCATGCCTGGACCATCCTGGACAGTGGTCTTGCTGTTTCTTTCCATTTGTCACTGGGATGACATCCGCGTGTGCCGCACCCAGTCTTTGTGCTGCGCTCATGGCTTGTGGTGACAGCTGCATAATGTGGTGCCCACTCATTGACTGAGGTGGAGTCCTGATTTGTTTCGTCAGTTGTGGAGCCTGAACTCTGGGCCTGGGCGCTGTCCCTCAGCTCTTCACCTCAAGGCTAGCGCTCGACCACTTGAGCCACAGCACCACTTCTGGCTTTTTTCTTTTTGCTTATGTGGTGCTAAGGAATCAAACCCAGGGCCTCATGAGTGCAAGGCAAGCGCTCTACCACTGAGCCACCTTCCCAGCCCCTGGCTCCATACTTTGATGGTAACACACGCAATGGTCCAAGGGAATGCCAGTCTGGCCTGGTGGGTGGGCTCAGTCTGGCAGAGGGAGGGACCGCACTGGGACAGATGACCGCAGGGCATTTGGTGGCTGGTTCTCACAGGTTGGCGAAGGAGGAGGTGAGCCGGCAGGAGCTGCGACAGCGGGTCCGCATGGCGGACAATGAAGTGATGGACGCCTTTCGTAAGATCATGGCTGCCCGGCAGAAGAAGCGGACTCCTACTAAGAAGGAAAAGGACCAGGCCTGGAAGACCCTGAAGGAGCGGGAGAGCATTCTGAAGCTGCTGGATGGGTAATCCTCAGCTGCCTGGCTGCCTTCCCCCCACTTCCTGCTTTGGGGGCCAACAGTCTTGGACCGCACTGCCCATCAAATGGTGACGGTCTCCAGAGGGCTGAGCCCTCCACTGCGGCCTTTCGGTCTAGCTCTGTATAGCCAGGACACACGAGGCCCTGTGCGGCCAGCCTGGCCGGCCTGCCTGGCCCCCGAGCTGGGCGGGAGGAGCTCGTTCCTGGGTCTTCCTCTTCCTCTGCCCTCCTCCACTCCCCACCTGTTCCCCTCAAACACTTCTCCCTTGTGGTTTTGTAAAGTGCAAACTCAAGAATAAAGTGACTGCTGTGGTTTTTCACAAAACACCCCGTCGTCGTCGTCGTCGTCGTCGTCGTCGTCGTCGAGCGTCTGTTACTTTGCGTGAGTTACTTTGTGTGAGTGTCATTGTGGGTTGGGGTAGGAGGGCGCGCGTGGTGGCTGTGCCCTGTGGTAACTCACCCTTGGCATTCTGCTGTGCACCTCCTGGAGCTAGCCACGGCTGGGCTGCGGGGGACCGCGGCTGCGGAGCGTGCCGGAGCCGGCGGAGGTGGGGCTCCCGCAGAGGTGGGGCTCCCGCAGCAGTGCTGCCTTCGGGATCGGCCAGTTGGGCATCCTCAGCCCACATCTTTCTTGTCTTTTTTCTTCGTGGGGTGTGCGCGTGCGCCTTGAGGCGTTCCCCCACTCCAGCCTCCCCCTCAGCTAGCTTTTGTTTTTGAGACAGGCTCTTCCTATGTAGTCTAGGCTGGCCTCTCACTGTCGATCCTCCTTCAGCCTCCCAAGAGCTGCTGGGTTTACTCCCAGGTAGAAGGACCTCCACAGCTTCCCGTTAGGCCTTGGGTAGCAGGCAGGAAGGGTCAAGGTCAAATGGAGGGAGCACAGGAGTCAGCTGGCTCTTTCGCAGTATCCTTGACGCAGTCGCTGTGGCTCGGGAGGACAAGCGGGTTCCATCAGCGTCTGCTGCCTCACCAAACCCAGGCGGTACAGAGAGGGTAGAGCCCACCAAGCGCTGAGCAGGGAGAGCTTCTCACAGTCAGTCTGAGGTGAGGACAGATGGAGATGCTTTCTGTGCCTCGCCTTCTTCCTAGGTGAGTCCTGGGGAAAAGCAGTCGTTCACATTTTATGGGGAAGTTAGGGGAGGAGAGGCTGCCTACAACCTCATACACGGAACCATAAAGAGTGACAATGCCTCTCTATGGGATAAACACCCATCGCATGTGTCTCTTGTGAGACTGTCACTGTTAAACTATGCTGGACAGACGTTCCAGGGAATGGCCATGTGACAAACTGGGCCACTCAGAGGCCTTCCTTAAACTAAGCTCAGAGCTTAGCTGAGGCACAGTGCCCAGGCCCGGAGTTCAAGCTCCATGACCAAAAAAAAAAGATTGCTCTTAGGAGGACAGTTTTACTTCCTTTGCAATGGCAAGCCATCAAACTGCTTTCCTCTCACGTGGGAGGATGTGCTAGCTCAGCAAAAGCAAAGCCAGGAGGTGGAGAGGGAAACAATCCTAATGATGAAGCCTAGATCCAGCCCTGCCTGAAGCCACAAGATCTCCCAGTAGACTTCTTAGCCCACAGAAGAGTTTAGCTTAGGCTAGTTTGCTTCGGAATGCTGTCATTTATAAATAAAAAAGACCTGACTAATACAAATGTATTTTGGCTGGGGATCAGTATTCATGCCTGTAATAATCCTGGTTACTCAGGAGGCTAAGATCTGAGGATTATGGCTTGAAGCTAACCTGGGTGGAAAGTCCATGAGATTCTTATCACCAATCAAATACCAAAAAAAAAAAAAGCAAACTGAGCTAGGTATCAGTGGCTGACGCCTGTAATCCTAGCTACTCGGGAGGCTGAGATCTGAGGATCATGGTTCAAAGCCAGCCTGGGCAGGAAAGTCCATGAGACTCTCCAAGCAACTATCAAAAAAAAAAAAAAGCTGACAGTAAAGCTGTGGCTCAAGCAAAAAAGCTCAGGGACAAAGCCCAGGCTTTTGACTGGCATGAAAAAAAAAAAAAAAAAAACCAGTGTATTTTGGCAAGAGAGTAGGGTCCTCTCCTGAGGGGCAGCCTGGGGCCCTGCCTCCTACCAGCAGGGACCAGGGATGTGCTGCTGCTGCTGCTACAACTCCTCAGTGATTGGCCGTCCCCAGGGTGCTCCCGCCTTCTCACAGAGAAGGCACCAATGAATGAGACACCAGCTGTAGTTACGACAGTGCAGTTCAGTGTGCAGTAAACGTTAGCCAGGTACCATGTACTGTTGTAAACTTGTTAAACTACCTAATCTTCTGTGACCCCTAGGGTAGGGACTAACAAGACTCTACTCACAGACAAAAACAACCAAGGCTTAGGCAGTTACTTGTGTTAAGGAAGGATTCAAACTCAGGTCTTTTGACTTGGAAGTGGAGCCTTTTGCTTATATAACTCACTGGGCCCTGGTCCCTACACTTGGGCAGTGTCCAACTGATGCCGCCACACCAAGCAGCCCTAGCTTTAAGACCCCTTTCTCTTAATTAACCACACATGACCATATTCATGAGGCCAGATTATCTGTATGGTAGGCATCAAGAACAGAGATAGTTTTGTGGAGGGAGTGGGACGGGAGCTAGGTAGAAGTGTGAGGAGGAGAAGGTGGATATTCAAATGAAAGGACCAGTGGTAGAAGACAGACTGGCTCTGGTTCGTAAGGGAAGAGACTGAACTTTCCAGAATGAGTTGTGAGCTGCAGTCATTCTCTGCTGCAGCATAAGGAACAGTGCCGAGTGGAGCTAAAGGTCTTGTTTGATGCTCCCTACCTGTCTGCAAGGCAAGGAGCGGGCTGGACACCAGGCTGGGCTGCAGAGCCGCTGGAAGCCCAGATACCAAGTGTCATTGCAGCCTTGGGGCAGGCACAGTTACTGCCCGCACCAAGTGGCATCCCTGATGGAGATCTTCTGACTGTATCTGTGTGTGCTTGCGTGGAAGGAGGCCTTGTCTATGGAGTCGGGAAGAAGCGGGGCTCCCCACATACAAACAATTAGTTCCCTCAAAACTTTTTTTTTCTTTTTTTGGTTTCTGGATGCTGGTGGCTCACACCTGATATCCTTGCTCCTCAGGAGGCTGAGATCTGAGGATCACAGTTTAAAGCCAGCCTGGGCAGGAAAAGTCTGTGAGACTCTTATCTCCAATTATTACCAGAAAACCAGAAGTGGTGCTGTGGCTCAAAGTGGTAGAGTGCTTACCTTGAGAAAAAGAAAAGAAGCCGGGCACTGGTGGCTCACGCCTGTAATCCTAGCTACTCAGGAGGCTGAGACCTGAGGATTGCAGTTCAAAGCCAGCCCGGGCAGGCTTCTCCAATAAACCACTAGAAAACCAGAAGTGGCACTGTGGCTCAAGCGGTAGAGCACTCGCCTTGAGTTGAAGAGCTGAGGGACAGTGCCCAGGCCCAGGGTTCAAGCCCCAGGACGGACAAAAAAAAAAAAAAAGCGCAGGGGTCTGTGCACAAACCCTGAGTTCAAGCCCCATGACTGATGATAATTTTTTTGTTTTTTCTGCTGGCCTTGAACCACAGTCCTCAGATCTCAGCCTCTTGAGTGGCTAGGATTACTTATGTGAGCCTCCAGCACTCAGCTAAAACTCTAATTTTAACCTAAAGCTACTGTGACCCTTTCTCGGGAGTTTGGGGGAAGAGCTTCCTGTGTGTGACCTGGAAGGCAGGCACAAGCATATATGTCACCGCTTCTTCTGTCCCACACACCTTCAGCTGCGCCAGTGCAGGGCCGATGGCCTGACCCTCAACAGATCCCCATGCACTCAGAAATGCTCATGGGGGGGGAGGGGAAGAGCACCAGTGGCTCATGCCTGTAATCCTAGCTACTCACTCAGGAGGCTGAAAAAGAAAGAAAGAGAGAGAGAGAGAAAGCAAGCAAGCAAGCAAGCAAGAAAGAAAGAAAGAAAGAAAGGCTCTTGGTTCCGCTGACTGGTGCTGAGAGGGACGCAGTGTTTGCAACTTTATGAGAACATGGTCAGGAGCAATGGCCTTTTCTGGCCTGGGGCCCAGGACTCACTGGAGAGGACTAAGGGGACTAGGCCCAGATGCTCGGAGCTGCAAGCTCGCTTCCCCCCATAGCCCACTCCACTACCTGCTGACCTTTCCTCCTTCACACTCCCTCCCTCTCTCCACTGCTTGCAAGAAGAGGGAGGCTCCAAAACAATCCAAACACAGGCAAAGAGTTACAATGGAAGAGTAAACACGGTCCCCAGGCCCTGGAGCCCAGAGGCACTTGATCTGTCCAGAGCAGAGAAAGCCTCTAGGAGGAAGATTCCAGGCGGATGACATTCCAGACAAAAGGAACAGCAGTCCACGGAGGTGTGAACAGCTGGCCTGCTTAGCGAGAGGTGAGAACTTCCGTGTGACTGAGCCCCAGCTGTGCCTGGGAGGGGAAGGAGAGAGGAAGCTGGGATTAGGCAGGGAGAGACACTGAAAAGCAGGGACTTTACCTGCAGGACCGCGGTTCTCCGCGTGCAGAGCACATCTGTATGACCTGGGAGCTTGATAAAAATGAGAACTTTCAGGCCTGGAATGTGCAGAATCAGAAACTGGCTCAGCTATTGGACATGTGCAAGGCAGGTGTACGGGTGCAGGCCTGGAACCCAGCTCTGCAGGAGGCTGAGGTGGAAAGAAGCATGGCTTGAACCCTGTCGTTTGGAGCCAGCCTTGGAAAACTTAGTAAGATCACATACCAATAAATAAATAAATAAGAGGGGAAAACTGGGTGAGGAGGGAAGGTGACATTGTTTAAAAAAAAAAAAAAAAGCTGGGTGCCACTGGCTCCCAACTGTCATTCTAGTTACTCTGGAGGCTGAGATCTGAGGATTGTGGTTCCAAGCCTCTTATCTCCAATTAACCACCAGAAAAACAGAAGTGGCTCAAAGGGGTAAAGCATTGGCCTTGAGCAAAATTGCTCAGAGACAGTGCCCAGGCTCTGAGTTTAAACCCCACGATCAACCACCAAACACAAAAAGATTATATCCTTGAAACTACCAAGAAATTCCTGGATCCAAAGGCCTGGAAATTTGGCCGGGGGGGGGGGGGGGGGGGGGGAGTCTGGGGGCAGGTGATCGGGCTGCAGTTGGATGTTAATTAAACCCTTAGATGCAGATTGCTATATTGTTTTCTGAAAGATCTCTGTGTGTGTGTGTTACTAGAAATTGTGCCCAGGGCTTTGTGCTTTCTGTGTAAGTGCTCTACTCCTTAAGCTACAAGCCTGGTACTTTACCACTTGAGCCAGTGTCTGAGTTAGCTTTGAACCACAGCCCTCAAATCTTAGTCTCTTCTTTATGTGCGTAGAATTTTGCTAACTTTGTTTATCTTGGCCTCAAACTCCTGATTTTCCTGCCTTCATCTTTTCAGTAGCTAGGAATACAGGTGTTAACTGCTACACTCAACTTCCAAAAGATCTTTAGTAAGTACCCTCCACCAGATTTAGGAGTACTCAATCGTGCTATTGGTGTTACCAGCTTTTTTAAGCTTCAAATTTCAAAGTCTGTCAACGACCTCTTCTTTTGATTTGTACTTTTTTATTACAAGTGAAATAGAAAATGTCCTAGGTTTACTGCCTTTCATCCATGTCCTTTGATTATTTATTGGGTTTTTAGCTTATTATAAATTTTATGTGCTGTTTACATAATAAAAGTATTAACCCATTGTCTTGTTTTGTTTTTTTTTGGGTCCGGTCATGGGCCTGAACTCTGGGCCTGGGCGCTGTCCCACAGCTCTTCAGCTCAAGGCTAGCGCTCTACCACTTGAGCCACAGTACCACTTCTGGCTTTTTTCTTTTTGCTTATGTGGTGCTGAGGAATCGAAC